GCACTTATGAGTAATATGACCTTATTGTGTTGCAAGTGCCATAACCCCCCCCCCCCCCCCCCCCCACTAAAACTAACGTTTCATCTCTGGGACTGGCTACCACTACCAGTTGCAGAGTTAAAAATGATAAAACTTGGAGATTAGACAGAAAATGAACAAAACGTTATTTTAATTAAAACATTTACATATGTACATGTACATATACAGTCAACAAACACTGGTGGTACATGTACCGTATCTCGAATTCGCCGGGGATTGGAAATTGTGTTTGAATTTGAGATAAAATTTCCGTAATTCGTCATGCCGTGAAAGCCCCAATTAAAAAGAAAGAAAAAGAAAAAAGGAAGAGTCTAGGGGGACCAGGATTTAAAATTCTTGTCTTTTTATTCAAAACCTGGGTGGGTTATGTATCCGAGAGATAGAGGAGAGAAAGAGAGAGGGAGAGAGAGAGAGAGAGAGAGAGAGAGAGAGAGAGAGGGGGGGCTTGGGCTTGAGAGAAAGAAGAGAGATGAACTTCATCATGAAGGCTACTACCACTACTTCTACCGCACTACGTCATTCTCTTGTCTCGGACAGTGCTGTCCTGACTGTCCTGTCCTACCGTGGATTTGGTCTTGCGTTTCAAAACATCCGAAATAGGAGGACTGATCCGGCGCATACGGCTGTCCCCGCAGAATTATAAATGCACCTTTAGATGTCCAAATTACGAAGGAAAAAAAAAAAGGAAAATTATACGAATTTTTTATGCAAGTTACCGTAACATCATTCGCGACATGTTTTGCACTTTTTCAACAAGAATTTTCATGTTTTAATTTATGTAGGCTACAGAAAAATTGAAAACAGAACATATCAGTACCAGTAGTAATTTGTTGTGTATTTGGAAAGAAAACAATACACATCGGTCAGAAAAAAACAACCAAAGAGTACAATCTCGAACTTTCACTGCTGTAGAATATATAAATCTAACACTAACATATGTAGAGGAAAGAAAAATGTAAAAAAAAAAAGAAAAAAAAGAAAGACATCTGGACATCTGATGCTGGCACATCACGAAAACCAGGGACACCTGTCAAACATGAAACATCAGCATACCCGAGAACAACTTTCGATGGATTGAAAAATTGAACATGCTCAAGGAACAAAATCCTAACCACCATTACGATTCCGATTACCAAGATCTTCTACTTCTAGCAAGGGAAATCAACTTGTCACTTAAATTTATGAGACTTATTACCGGGGTTACTTCCCTTTAGCAACGTGGCGAGGCGTTAATAAAGTTAAGTAAAAAATAATAGATTAATAATAATTAATACATGTATTGTTTTGTGAAAATGAAGAAAAAACGCGGGGAATCCAAAATTTTATGCAAATATATGCTTCAGAATTACGCGAAAAAACGCGGCCGCACAATCGCATTAGCCGATGGGGACAGATTTCCGCTTTCCCCTACCAGCGTTTTAAACTCATTCAGTGTCAGGATTTTTCATTTTCTCTGGGGTTGCAAAGGTTACATCATTGACCCACACTGGTCCTTCTGGCATGTCCTCATTAACTCCGGCAGCTTTTTTTCTTCACAAGATTTCACATTTTTCTTTCATTCTACTCTAAACTCCCACAGCAAGTCACACATCTCCATGTCATCTTCCTCAACCAACAGACTCTTTTTTCCTCTACTTTTGTCTTAGTCTTTGACCATTCTTTTACTTTGCTGCAACAAACACTGGCACTGTGGTGACTGACTGACTTCCCCTTCATCTGTATTGGATTCCTCTTCAGTCATGGTAAGTTCTACTCAGCTGGTCCTTATCCTGGACCAAGGAGCGGGTGGCCCCAGTTTGAATACCCAAGGGCTTCTATTCTGAACTGTGATTGCTTTGGAAAGTAAAGGTTCTCCCTCTGATTGGCTCGATTCTCCCATCTATCGGGGATGGACGTTACATTTGGAAGGTTTGCTTCTTAATTTTAAATATAACCTTACACTTTTACAGAGCAGTCCAATTCAAAATAAATTTATGCAACACCGTAACTAATTCATCAGAATGATCACATAATTTGATAGTTATGGGGAACTCACGATATACCGGTAAACAGTAGGCCTACCATGTAGGCTACCAGGTAATACCATTGCTGACTCTTCTAAACATTATTGAGAGGCTGTACAGGTGAAAGTGGTGAAATGGTTTGGTTTTAACGCCTCTGTCAACACTATTAGGTTATAAATTTAAGAGGCGGGGCCTCCTAGTTTATCAACGTCCGTCTCCGAAAGGACCGAGCCAAGTGGGAAATTCGTATAAACCTCCTTTCCCAAGGACACAACGTCGGACCGAGCTGAGGCTCGAACCCTCGAACTCAAACCCGCAATCTCACGATTACGAGTCGTTAAATAATAAATTACCCTTTTTCAGTCGGACCGAGAAAACATAACGTAATGAACATGGAAAATACAGCATTACACTACAGTTACAGTCATGAGTATGATGAATCCTTGGCAACGACAACGCCTTGGTGGGGGGGGGGTGTTGCAGGGCGTCATTGTTCTCACTGGCATAATAATATCCCGCGGTCGCTACCCTACTGCGGTTCCTAAGTTCCCTGTCTTGTCTACCCCACTTCCTTCTTTCTAAATCTCTCCCTGCAATGTTTGAGGAAGGAGTACATTACCGTGCTGTCTCCCTATAACGACTTCCGAATAATTAATGACATTCTCTGTAAAGCGACACGGTGCCCAGGTCCCAATTTTTTCCTGTATATATAAATAATATAATTAATAAAATAATTTTTGGTTGCCTCTCTATAACGACAGCTCTCTATAACGACATTTTTTCTGGTCCCGACGATGTCGTTAATTATTAGAGGCTGCACTGTAGTTTGAAGACGTGAGCTTGATTCCCACCCTGGCAATTTTATTTTATTTAGTAGGGCCTATGTTGTGGTTCATAAGACGCATGTTGTGTATCTCATCTACAGCTAGAAAAACAAAGGAAGAAGTCTTGCTTGAAGCAAATTGCAGACGACAGCCAATGACGAATATATACGAAAGCGACAGGCCAATTTTATTGGACACACAATGCGAAAAGAAGCATTGGAGAATATTGTAACAACAGGCAAGTTTGATGGAAAGAGAGGCAGAGGCAGACAGAGGGAAAAGATACTGGACAAGTTCACAACATGGCTGGGAGCAGCAAGAAAAACAGACATGCTGAAACGCAAGACAGATGGCAGTGGAGGTCCATGATCGCCCTCGCCAGTCGGCAAGGCACCGGATGATGATGATAGAGATCTACATCTAGCGCCTTTTATTTGGCACACTAAGCTGTATCCCACCCACCACAGGACTCACCACAGGCAACCTTGGCTGACAGGGTCGGAGTGACCGGCATCGTAAGTGATATAAACTGTATCGATATTTTAAAAATATTTTAAATCGGACTACACAGGACTGTCATTGTGTTGACCGTGACGACACGTCTATTTTGTATCCTAACTGAAGAAATACGGAAATGGTTGGGGAAAGGGAAAAAAAAAGAGAGAGAGAGAGAGAGAGAGAGAGAGAGAGAGAGAGAGAGAGAGAGAGAGAGAGAGAGAGAGGGGGGGGTGTCTTCAGAACACCACTGACACCGGTCCTATGGCAATGGAGAGCCCCCCCCCCCCCCCCAAATCTGCTTTCAAATTTTCAAATGCGCCAGAGAGACAGTATATTATATTTGCAATAAACGGACTGGCAGAGAGCGATTTTTGTGCTCAAGACCATTTTTCACATAGTTGGCCTATACTGTGGCTTGAGAGGTGAGCAGAGTAAGCCTGATTCCCCACTTGGACCTCTGTTGACATCCACCCCTTGGCGCTCATAATAATAATAATAATAATAATAATAATAATAATAATAATAATAATAATAATAATAATAATAATAATAATTATAAAAGATAGCATTTGTTTCGCGCATATCCCCGCTCAACAGCAGGCTCTATGCGCTTTACATTATATTATTACCCCAGCAGACCATAGAACACTCCGAAACATTCTCAGCTTCCCGAGAAGCATACAGTGCAAGCAGCCGATTAAGCGCTCAAACACTAACAAACTGACAAGATCTTTAGCTGTCTATAGCCGGGTACCCATTCCCACCTGGGTGAAGTGAGGAAAATTCGTGTAAAGTGCCTTTCCCAAGGACACAACGTCGGGCCCCTGACGGGATTCGAACCCACGACCTTACGGTTGCGAGTCCGAGAGCCTAACCACTAGGCCACCGACGCCACAATAATATGACCTTATGCAGTTGCGAGCGCCGTAAAACCTTACTAGAACTATTATTATTAGGTCTATGTTGGAAAAAAAAACCCAACAACCAAACAACCTTGGCCCGGAATATGATTTTTATACATCATGTAGATCTATAGAGATTATCAACGTGTAGCCTACCTTGTGGCCGAAAAGAGGAAGCCAGCATGTACTATATACACACACACACACACACACACACACACACACACACACACACACACACACACACACACACACACACACACACACACACACACACACACACAAATAAAAAATAAATAAATATATATATAATATATATGTAGAAATCAGTCTGCACTACCGTAACATAATGTACTATAATTGCTGACACACATGATATGGCAGTAGAATTCTGTTTGTAGGCCTTTCTGCTACTAGTGACCCATAAATGCAGCCTGCACTACTACTACTACAACTGCTGCTACTACTACTACAAGTATTTACCACAATCTGTAGTAGTAACAGAATTCAGTGTGTAGTGTGTAGGCTACTTTTATAATGGCACAAACTGCTTCAGCCCCTTCAGAAAGAACATGACACAAACTATTTCGTCAATTTCGTGGACTATTCCAAGGTGTCTGTCGGGACTGTGGACTTTACCAGTATTTTCTAACAATGATAACACTGTAATTCAATATCAATTAATTTATTTCAACTTTAAATGATCAGAACATTTGAAAGACATATATTAAGAATCTGTGACGTGTTTAGTTTCGGTAACTGACAGGACAAATGAGGAATTTCTATTTTTATCTCACATCACTTAGGGACCGTTAAAAATGACGTCAGCTCAGAGGGAGGGGGAGGTGGGGGTTCAGTGAAAAGCAGACAAAAGTTGACATGAGGGAGGGGGGTCCTTACAAAGTTGACGTTAACCATGATGCTCTAAAAGGTTGGGGAAAAAAGGAAAGAAAAGAAAGGAAGGAAAAATAAAGATCAAACGCGCAAAAATACAAAATGCATCCTGTATAGTTTCTACCTAAACATACATGTACATTTTGGTTGACGTCAACGGGGGCGGGGGTAATTTTTGGCCAAATTTTAACCGACGTCATTAATTGTGTACGATCCCCTTACTGTGGAATAGCCCTCAATCAGATCAGCATCTCGTGGAGCGTTGTTTTGCTGTGAACACGTCCAAAGAGGTTATATTTAATACCAGAGTTCGTGGAAGTGATGTCCCTAACGTAAACGAACGCGGGCTGTGTGTGCCCACTCTAGGGCGCTGAATCTCAAGGGAAAAACATGAGCTGTTCAACAGAGGGGTGAGTACTTTTCAAGACTCACGTGGAGGCGTCTCGTTGGTATTCTAGGGGTGAATCTACACGCTTGCACTGAAATATGGGGGGAGGGGGGTGGTGGTTTACGAGAGCTCGTGGGGAGCGTGGTGGGGCTCAGATCGTTCATATAAATGGGGGCACGCCCGCGTGCCGATGAGGGATGTCTGACACGTGTGACGTAACTGTTGCGAGCTCTAGTACCATAAATAATATATATTATATAACCTCTTTGGTACACGTCACAGCACAGGGTGTGGAGCTGCGTGCGCAAGCACAGTTTATGTTTCTTTCCGGTTCTGACTGAACACGTCACTTCCGCTCTTCTGAAACACGTTCTCCACTAATCTCCACTGCGCGTGAACCCATGACAATAGTGCGGCTCACCTGGACCCCGGAGAGACGTATCTTCGAAACTTCTAGAATTCATATTTTGTCCGGACTCAACCTTTCTAAGCAATCGTGTGCTTGTTTATCTTAAGAAAGTTTTGAGACACGTCTGTTTTATTTGCTCGAGTTAAACAGACGCTTCAAGACGTTAAGTTTAGGAGCGGCATCATCTGTATGTACATCGCTGTCTGCTGGCGCCCAACTCTCAGACTGTTCTGTAGGTTAGAATTTTGTAGCTAACGAATCGTTCACTGGAGTCATAATACTGCTACTGTTTTGTGAATGGATACCATCACCATTTGCTACATTCTCTGGTTTCACTAAAACGGTTGGGCTAGCGGAGTCATCAACCTTCCCCTCACTAGCCGCCCTTCGCCTTCTTATCGTGGGGGCTTCACTTTCGTTTTCTCTACCCTTGTCGTTGAGGCTGCTGTTGCTACCGGAAAAACTCCCCCCGCTAGAGCTCGACTCGCTTCGGGAAGATTTCCCTCCCTTTGACTTCTTCCCTTTCCCTCCCTTCCCTTTCCCCTTATGGTTAGTTGCAGATTCTGGCAGGCTAGAGGAGGACACAGAACTCACAGGACTGACGTCATCAATGTCTGACCTTTTACCAATAGCCTCAGACGTGTGTATCTGCATTGTGGCGACACTGGGAGAAGAGAGTTTCTGCTGAGTGGGGTCTGAGTTCAAACCTCCCACATTATGCCCTGCTTCTGTAATCAAATGTCCATCACCATTGGTGTTGTTAAATTTCGCCTGGCCAGAAGGAGAGAAGGGAATGTGGTTGTACTGTCCTTGACCTTGTCTTTCGTGTCCTGACTCAGGGCTCGGGGAAAACACTGTTGTCGTAGGAGTTACGCCCCCTTCTTTGTCCGCTTGCAGAATCTCGTCCAACAGACTGACAGATTGCTGTCGTTCCCCTGAACTCGGGCTTGTTTTGTAGTCTACAGGGTGGTTATTCCCACTCTCCAATTTCACGTCATCATCTGCTGGGGCGGAGTACATTATGACTACCGCTTGTTGAGTGTTGGAACGAGAGCGAGGCTGAGAAGAAGGGTCACGTAACCCGTCAGCCTCCACGTCAGGCAAAGTTTCTACCAGCGATGCCGCTAGGGTCGCCATAAGGTCGTCATTCTTCCTCGCCTTCTTTTTCTCTTCTCCTACAGAATCAAGCGACCCAGAATGGCCGGAATACGACGTGCCAGGCTCGGAGAAGCCCAGCATCTTCTGCTTGTTCTTGTCCTCGTCCTCGTCGTTGTTGTTCCCCGGCAGCTGCTCGTACTTGTGCTTGTACGTGTGTAGCGCCCAGGGCTGGAGCTCTCCCGAGGCGAAGACACAGTAGAAGAAAAGCGAGAAGAACTGTAGGCCCACAGTGATGTAATAGGCCAGCTGCCACTCCGAGCGCTCTTTCTGCAAAAGAGGAAAAACATCACAATC